CTTCTCAAAAAGATCATTAGAGAACTTCATTGCATTTGGGAACCAGCTGCTACAATGCTTGTCCAAGACCAAGATAAATTAAAACATCACTCCTATTCTCAGGTCCTAACACTGGTTTCCAGTTAGCTATTGAACTAATTCTAAAGTGCTGATCCTAAAGTGCTGATCCTAAAGTGCTGTGACATTACTGCAGAGTCCAAACCTGGTCAGCTTCTTACAGTAGATCAATAAGAACGAGTCGACGATCAATTCCCTGGCTACATCCAAACCGGGCAAGGCAGCATTTAGCTATTATTTTAAACCCCCCCTTCCTGGTGATCTTAGATGTCCTAAACCACAGCCATTTTTAAGTCCAAACTATTCTCTTGTGCCTTTGATCAGGTATTAAGCACAACACTTTTCTCTTATTTTTATATTCTGTACTTTTGATGTCTTAAGTTTCTTATTTCTCTTTTAAGCTGTTAAATCTATTCCTGTGTATAAAAACTATTTATTTCTATTTTTTTTCTATTATATTGTACCTCGGCATTTTGTGTGGACAGCAAAGAAAGAATTTCATTGCACAGAGAAATGCACTTTTCTACTGTGCATATGACAATAAACGCTTTGAATCTTGAATGCGCCATACAGACAAACTTGCCACGACATCCATATTTAATCAGGAACTTCTGTCCTTATGTAATCATACCTGAACCATGGTGAGTCCTTAAGGTGACTATAGGAGACAAAATTCTAGAGGGACAAGCAAAAACTGAGAGATGAAACGACTCATAACTGCAGATGAGACTGTTGCCCGAATACTTGTATATAAATCAGAAGCAGTTCACTACTCATCAAAGTACAAAATCTAAGGGGTGTTGCCATCTATGTCTTCTTTCTCCATTGATTACCATCTGCATAAAATTCATGGTCCTGATAGATTAGGTGAGCTAACCTCTTCACCTCAAAGCTGTAATGTAATCCTTTCTTTCCTTCTTTAGTTCACCTTTCAGCCAGCTGGTGGCCATTTTACATAGCGGAGCGACCACGTAGGTTTTGTGTATCGCTGCAGCCTGCAGGCCCCAGAAAAGTCCCAAGAGGGCGCTTAAGTCGCAGCCTCCGATGAAAGCCTGATCCGCGTTTTCCTTCACTGGCGAAATAACGGTTATTTAGAGCTGAGATGAGCACCTGTCCTAGCTATTACTAATGGATATTACAAAAATAACGTCCAAATCACTGTTTATTAATACATTAAAAAAAGAAAAACACGAAAAAAGGAGTAAGGAAAAAAAAATTAATCGCCCAAAATTTTTAATCCCAAAACGCATAACTGACAAAATCTAAAATATCCAAAGATAGGCTACATCACCTGTTTAAATTTAGCCGACTTTAAACTTCAATTTGATTTTAATGCTGTTTTTTATGCTCCAATTTAGTAAAAGCCGCTGTGCTGTCGGGTTATAAACCCACAGGGCGTTGCCTCTCATCTTTGCGGGCATTTAGGCTGTTTCATCGGTATCGACTAAGGCTATAGCGTATTTCATTTCTCGGCTGCACACCTTAGAGCATCTGCAGGAAATAATCGTGGTAAGCGGTGCATTTCGATTACTTTTATACATTAGGACTCGTCTGATAGAGTATTAGGGCATTTTTATATGTTCTGTCGTATGTCATTCGCAGGCATCTAGGCGTAGCAAAGTGATTGCGACAGAATTAATATTTCTGTTTGAGAAGAGGTCTGACAGTAAGACATGGGCTGCGGGTCATATTTAAGAGAATAAATAACAAAATATGGTGATCCTATTTGTGATGCGTTTCCAAATCGATGTTTTCATTTTTCTAGTTATAGAAAACACGATACGAATGCTTACACGCATTAATACTGCATTTAGCAAGGCGATTATTTGTGTCCTTAATTCCTTTTTTATATGGAATTCTTCTCACGAGCCCAATAAATATGCGGAACAGTGGATTTCATCACGTGTATTTAAAGACCTGAACTAATTTTTGTTTATCGTATATATATTAAAAACTGTGAGTATACATGCGTCACGTTTTCGATGTTTACACTACTTATAAGAATATTTCTGTAAAACATCACATTTTTAAAAAATTACAGGCAATAAAAGTGCTATCTTAAAATAATTTAAATAAATCAGATAAAAGCTATATGCGAGGAACAGTCTCTCTGTGATCTAATTAGCTTTAAAGGACACAGCCTAGCTAATTTTATCACCTCCCCCAAACACCACGGGGAGAGAGCCATTTTCGTTGTATGAAATGTCAGAGACCTTATCATGACCTCAGCCCGCGAGCTCATATGAAACACAGATTAATGAAGCATATTCTGATGGTACTGGGCTTTCTATCGTATGTGTGTCTTTCAGATAAACAGACTGCTTATTTAATAAGACCCAAGGTATCTTGTACCACTATTGACTGAAAAAAAAATATCCTGAGGCTTACAATAATTAAAAAATACACAAAACAGCCAGTCATTCCAGCAACTACAGAACTGTAGTATCACTGGCAGTAGAAGAGGAACAAAGGATCACTCTCCTGCTTTGAATGATGAATAATGAAACAGTATCTGATTTCTATCTGTGTGCACTTCATGTTTCCTCCTGTAGTCCGAAAATGCAGTTCAAGTGAATTGGTGACACTAATTTGCATCTAGAGTGTGACTGTGTGACTGAATGTGTGTCCTTCTTATGACAGCTGATACAGGGCATTTCTTTACAATAAACCTTGAAAATGTTTAAGCTGTACTGCAGCAGTAGTCAAAGACTGGTTTTAATTTGTAGTATAACAACATTTAGACAGACGTGCATAATCTACGAAAGCAGTTAGTTATGATAGGTTTCCAAAGGAACATCTTTATTCCTTCTTAAGTGTGAGTGGACCTTGATTCATATGGGTCAGGCTGGTGTGCAGACTGGCAATGCATGCTGGGAACTGGTGCAGAACAGGATCCACAAGCTGGTAGGGTTTACTGTGGAAATTTGTTGATTAATACTGTACCATGGTGATATGGTGCCCAAAGATGTCAATGCTGCCATCGCCACCATCAAGA